TGGCGCATTATCCCCCTTCAGGCTGTGTTCACATGGCCAACTCCAGTCCTCTCCCTGGGATCTGACCTCCGAAGCCTGCGCTTCAGCTCCCAGTCCCCACCCACCCCAACAGGTGAGCAGAGAATCCTCTCAGACTGGTGAGTGCTGGTCGGCACCAATCCTCTGTGCGGAAATCTCTCCGCTTTGCCCTTTCTAGTGTGTGGAAACTTTTCCTCCTTCGCAGCTCCCTCCCAGAGGTGCAGGCCCTGTCCCTATTCTTTTGTCTCTGTTTTTCTTTGTTGCCGTACCCAGGTGCGTGGGGAGTTTCTTGCCTTTTGGGAAGTCTGAGGTCTTCTGGCAGCGTTCAGTAGGTGTTCTGTAGGAGTTGTTCCACATGTAGATGTATTTCTGATGTATTTGTGGGGAGGAAGGTGATCTCCATGTCTTACTCCTCCGCCATCTTGAAGGTCTCCTCTAAGTTGTCCTTTTTTTTTTTTTTTTTTGCGGTATGTGGGCCTCTCACTGTTGTGGCCTCTCCCGTTGTGGAGCACAGGCTCCGGACGCGCAGGCTCAGCGGCCATGGCTTACGGGCCCAGCCGCTCCGCGGCATGTGGGATCTTCCCGGACCAGGGCACAAACCCGTGTCCCCTGCATCGGCAGGCGGACTCTCAACCACTGCGCCACCAGGGAAGCCCCTAAGTTGTCTTTTTCTTGTTGAATTGTAAGAGTCCTTTATGTATTCTGGACACTAGGTCCTTATTAGATATATTATTTGCAAATATTTTCTCTCATTCTGGGACTTTCTTTTCACTTTCTTGATAATGTCCTTTGACATACAAATGTTTTAAATTTAAATTTCATTTAAAAATTTTAATTCGAGGTCAGTTTATTTTTTCTTTTGTTGCTGGTGCTTTGGTGTCATATCTAAGAAACCATTGCCTACGCCAGGGTTATGAAGACTTACACCTATATTTCCTTCTGAGAATTTTATAGCTTTAGCTGTTAAATTTAGGTATTTGATCTATTTTGAGTTAATTTTTGTATATGATATGAGATGGGGTCCAAATTCATACTTTTGCATATGGATGTCTTTTTGTCCTAGAACCATTTGTTGTCAAGACTCTTCTTTCACGTTGAATGGTCTGGACTTCCTTATTGAAAACAAATTCACCATAGGTATATAGGTTTATTTCTAGACTCAGTTTTATTTAGTTGATCTATCTGCCTATCCTTATGCCAGTTCCACACTGTTTTAACTACTGTAGCTTTGTAGTTAAGTTTTGAAATCAGGAAGTGTGAGTCTTTTAACTTGGTTCTTCTTTTTCAAGATTGTTTGGCCATTCTGTGTCCCTTGCATTGCCGTATGAATTTTAGGATCAGCTTATCCATTTCTGCAAAAATGACATTTAGAATTTTGACAGATATTGCACTGAATCTGTAGGTCAATTTGGGAAGTATTGCCATTTTAACAATATTAAGTTTTTCAATCTATGAACATGAGATGTCTTTCCATTTACTTAGATCTTCTTTAATTTCCTTCAATATTTTGTAATGTTCTGTGTACAAGCCTTGCACTTCTTTGGTTAAATTTGTGTCAAAGTATATTTTTCTTTTTGATGCTATTATGAATGGTATTGTTTTCTTAATTTCATTTTCTGACCATTGATAATTATAGAAATACAACTTATTTTTGTATGTTGATCTTGTATCTTACAACTTTGCTGAAGTCATTTATTCTAATTTTTTTGTGTGGATTCTTTAGGATTTTCTACGTATAAGATTATGTCATTGGCAATAAAGATAGTTATATTTCTTCCTTTCCAATCTGGATGTCTTTTATTTCCTTTTTTGTCTAATTGTCCTTGCTAGAACTTCCAGTACAATGTTTAACAGAAGTGGCTAGAGCAGACATATTTATCTTGTTCCGAAGTTTAGGGGAAAACCTTTCAGTTTTTCACCATTAAATATGATGTTAGCTGAGAAATGTATATTTTTAAAAAATTTTATTTCAAAGTGATTACAGATTCATAGCAATTTGCAAAAGTAGTACAGAGAGGTCTCATGTATTCTTCACCCAGTTTTTCCCAATGAGGACATCTTGTTTGTTTTTTGATTGAACCAGGCCCTTGGCAGTGAGAGTGCAGAGTCCTAACCACTTGGCCATCAGGGAACTCCCCCAATGAGTACATCTTAAATAACTACATTGCAATATCAAAACCAGGAAATTCATATTGGTATAAGGTGTGTGTATAGTTCTGTATCATTTTATCACATGTATAGATTCATGTAGCCACCACCACAATCATGTTACAGAAATACTCCATCTCTACAAAGATCTCTGTTAGGCTACCCCTTTATAGTTATGCCCACTGCCCTCCCTCTCACCATCCTTAACCCCTGGCAACCACTAATTTGTTTTCCATCTCTACAGTTTTGTCATTTGGGGAATGTTGTATTTGTTTTCATATAGTTTGTAAATTTTTGGCATGAAGCATTTGTGGTACGCGGGCCTCTCACTGTTGTGGCCTCTCCCGTTGCGGAGCACAGGCTCCGGATGCACAGGCTTAGCGGCCATGGCTCACGGGGCCAGCCACTCCACGGCATGTGGGATCTTCCTGGACCGGGGCACGAACCCGTGTCCCCTTCATCAGCAGGCGGACTCTCAACCACTGCGCCACCAGGGAAGCCCCCAAGCATATTTTTTTTTTTTTTTTTTTTTTTTTTTTTTTT